TTGAGTTTGGGTTTTGGTTTTTTTTGGGTCAATATGAACCAATTGGGAAAATGTTCATACTGATAAGAAAAATTCAGTTTGGGCTAAACTAAATAAGTTTTATTTATATTTGTCAATATGGTAAGCAGAGTATTCAGTGGCTGGACCATTATATTTTATTCTTTTTTGTAATGGGGAAAAATGTCAAATTACGAAACTGAAGAAAAAGAACATTGCAGAGAAAGATCATGTTTTGCAGTATGTTTTTATAATCCTGAAGAATAATGTCAGACCATCTTATTATTAAAGAGTATGCTGATTATTTAGAATGAATGGGTGCTTTCCTGTTTTGTTCATTATGGCAGAAGGCTTTTATCAGGTATTTTAAACATTTTTATAATACTTTTCCTAGCAGAAGACTGCAGAATATGCTTCTTGAAACCAAGAAGTAATATAAATGATGTCTCAGCTCTGTAGCTGACCCTGTAACAGATTTACAGGCCTGTTTAGCTAGATTTTTAATGAAGTATTGAAAATACTTTTCCATTCGGAAGGGTTGCTGTCAGAAGGACTAAATCAATAATCAGGTTTTTTTTAAATGTGTTTATTTAGGTTCCATAGCATATCAATATTCATTTTCAGTTTTAATAATGTCACGCATTTCCCATGTAATTAGTACATATTTAGGCACTTAGAAGATGGTTCAGTAAAAGTTCAACTGGAGCAAGAAATACTAGTACTGAAAGTAAACTATCAGCACAGTCGCATAGTCTAGCATTTCTGATTTAGTAAGTTGTTGAATTTTTGTAAATGGTAATATGAAAATTAAACAGGCTTATAGATAACTGAAAAGGATTATTGTGCATAGTGTTAGTTATCAGTAACTTTTCATTAAATCTCTTACCTAAATCACAGTTTAGGATTTTTTTCCCTAATATTCATGTTTTAAGAAAAACATTTATTTCCCGTTCAGACCAACACTTCTTCACCTTATTACCTTCAATCTTAAATTTTCATATGCCCATTATTCTTAACAGAAAGATAAGTTAAATTTCAAGGTAAATGATTCAAATATATTTGAAGCTACAATTAACGGGTACCAGAAGTCAGTATTTGTAATAATGGGAGGAGGATTATGTTTAGCTACTAGGTATAGTATGCAGCACTTCTGTTTTCTAGACTAAGAATACAATATGTATAAATGTTTTAATAGTGTAAATTTACCCTTTTAAAATTAGGAATTAGGATTTAATTCAAAACTAGGTGCATTGTCAAAATCATAAAATAGGTTGATTTTGTGTAGATGTTGATAAAAATTGCTCTTTGGGCATCGGGGAATATTATTAAATGTGATAGGTTGAATGTTGTTTGAATTTCATTGATGGCATCTCAGCAGTTTATACACAAGCCTTTCAAAGAAAGAAATATTGATTGCCGAAAGCAGCACAGGTTGCTCTGACTTACCTGTGTGCTAGATAAAAAAACAAACAGACCTCAGCCTCTTGTCATGAAAAATATTTGAGGGTATTTTGTAAGTTTGCCTATTCTGACACATTTGGAATTAAGATTACCTTGCAAAATCTATATCCAGTAATGGCTATCAATGTTTGCTGCTGCTAAGTTTTAAATCTTAAATTAAACCGTGCCTACTAAGGTGTCTTTTTAGGAAAAAAACTGGAAAATTAGTGATTCAGAAGTTGTAGTTTTGCCAGAAGACTTGAGCCTGCATGTGTCTCTGTCTTCAGTTTTCCTTGGAAGTGAGCTTCAATATCCAAAGTCCAGAGGTCATGTAAAATACACTTTTTTAAAATTTCACTTCCAGTATTTATTGGATTGGAAACATGTTAGACCCTTCTTTTGAACTCTTTATGGGTCCATAGGCTTTTATATTTAGATTTCTGGCTATTGTACTTAGGGTGGATTTTGTTTTTGTTTTGTTTTTTAAATCTTTATCATTACCTTCCAATTTGATGTAATACAAAACATTTTGTAAATATTAAGAAATTGGCTCTGGAAAAAAAATTGGATTTACACTGATTGAATCTGAAAATGCATTTATATAAACACAATTACAACATTGAGTAGAGATCCTGTAGCAAACCTACAAATATAAAAGGTAAATCTGATCTACAAAATGTAATAATGATGGCTGAGAGGCCTCACTGTGTGGCTCCTATGGGAATTCATACCACAGCATTCCAATATATATGAATAAAACAAATACGGAGATAACAGAATTGATAGGTTGCTTATTTATTTTGTATTGATAAAGCATGCAGCTTATACAAAATGCAAAAGCTGACAACTGTATACATTGAACATTGGGTTCTACAGCTGTTACCCTATAAAGTGTTCTGTGTGAAACATTGTTCATTTTTACCAATACTGTAATGTATATACTTGTACAGTCTTTTCCTTAATATAGTTTTTAAAGTTGTGTTCTACTTTTCATTAACCAATACTTGATATTAGTTCTTAGAGCTTTCTATGGCAAAAATAAAAAGTTTTAATTCTAGAGATGTGCAGAATGTTTCTTTTCAAGGGTAATTTACTTTTTGAGAGAAACTGTTTCTCAATAACCAGTCTGTGGACCAGCACCCTTCCCCCACCCCGAGATCTCCCTGACAATTTAGGAAGACAGCAAGCAATTCTTGAGATCCAAAAGGTTGAAACAACTTTAGATGCATTAATGTTTATAGTTGTCTCCTGTGGGACTTTTAAAGATTGTAGTGAATTCTCAAAAAATTATGGAGTTTGGAGGTTTCTTAATTAGTTGAACAATGGTGCATAATGTAAACTGCTTAGTCAAAGTATTTTGAGCCAGTATAGTTTAGAAACTTATACTCATCTTATTCAGCTCAGGTATTTTAGTTAACTCATGGTGGAGCAACTTCCTATTTGCAACTAAATTAATCTGTAATTGGTTATATGGTTTGAAATTTTTCAATCTGTAGTTCTTAACTGTAGTGTTGAGATAATTGATACTTCCCAAAGTAGACCTAATAAATTCAGTGGGAGTATTTGCAGGAGTAAGTGCTAATCAGCATAGTAAAATTAATGTGAGGAAACAATTTGACAAGAAAAACATAGCTACAGTTTGAAATGCAATTTGACAAGAAAAACATAGCTACAGGTTGAAATGCTGTTAACCGGGACTCTCTGGTCTGGCAGGTTATAGGACCAGAAAGTCCAAGTAGAGGGACTAGTGCCTGGGAGCCCTGCATGCTGGCTCTGCAGTGGGAACCGGATGTGCAGAGGCAGCAGGGCTGCACAGCACAGCACTGGGTGCATGAAGGCAGCGGGGCTGCCAGGCACTGCAGCAGGAGCCCGGTGTGTGCATAGGCGGTGAGGCTGCCTGGCATGGCAGTGGAAGCCTGGGGAGCAGAGACAGCATTGCTGCCTGGCACAGCAGCAGGAGATGGGCGGGACACAGGAACCTGGTGTTCAGAGGTGGCGGACTGCCCGATAGGGAAATGGGGGCTGACAGCAGGGCCAATGAGGCCAGCAAGAGGGAGAAGCCAGCTGCAAGGGCAGCAGTTGGACCAGGGCTGGAGAGGGCTTGGCTGCAAGGGGACCAGAAATGACCACCACTGGTCCGGCAAATCCCTCATCTGGTACCAGAGAGGTCCAACCTGTACTAGGAAACCTGTCAAAAACCTCCCAAAAAAGTTTGGGAGAAAATATCAGGAACATTAGTAAAACATCTCATTCAAGTAGGGATTGGGCTTGCTGCAATTGGAGTCAACAGCAAAATTCCCCTGAAAATTGGTGGTGCAGAATCAAGCCCAGCATAATGTATTGTATTTAATATAAAATAAGTGAATGGAATACTGTGCTGATTATATTATTCATTTCTGTATTAAAGAAAGCTTTCTATTTTAATGTTCTTTAGCAAAATTTCCCAGTGCGTAACAGACTATAGAGATCTTGCTGTAGGCTTTAAGTCCAGCGAATTGAACCACACATGGCCTTCTGCATATTGGGGTTGAAGTTATGAGAATAACCCCCCTGAAATCAATGGCACTACTCCTGTGAATAAGAACCACAGAATTGTAGCTTCAGAGGGGTAGATGAATTAGTCTGTAACAGGAAAAACTTAAAATACAAGAAATAGTCTGGTAGCACTTTAAAGACTGATAAAATATGTAGATGGTATCATGAGCTTTCGTGGGCACTTCTGTCATCTGAAGAAGTGGGCTGTGCCCACGAAAACTCATGATACCATCTACATATTTTATTAGTCTTTAAAGTGCTACCAGACTATTTCTTGTATTTTAAGTTTTTCACAGAATTGTAGTTACAACTAGAAAATGCATAGGATATCTTTGTTCTTTGAACACATAATTTACAAAATAAGGGCCAAATGACTTAACTGGGACTACTTAGGGTAATAAGCACCATGCCCAGTAAGATTGGCAGTTCTGGGTTGTAAAATAACAAATACTGTCTTGGTTGGCTTTTTCTGTAGTTCTTAGTTGTGAATTTCAGTGTAATGGTTGCAAAACTAATACTCGGAAAAGACTGCTAAAATGTAAACTGCAACTTTGTAAACATTTACAAAATTCTCTGTTTTATTTTACTTTTGTGAAGTAATAAAAGGTACACAGGAGTCATGTAATTTTACATTCTCATAAGACATAATGGATACAGTGCATAAGAGTGCATTTATGTTAAATGCTTATATTGTTGTTGAAGCAGAAGGAAAACAGGTGATGAAACAGAAAATCCCAATGATGCTTTAATGTTAATTTTGAGTTTTCCTTTTATAATGAATTTAAAGCAGCAATGCAGCTTTTGCTTAAATATACCAGCATATAACAATTTATTTAAAGCTCAAAGGTTTGGAAAAGGGTTTTGACAAAGTTTTTCTGCTTCTGTCAGGCCAAAAGTACCAACAGTACACTTACTTTCAAAGATCCTTTTTCTGGCACCGAGGAATTTTTTTGTCCCCCCCGTGACTGTGCACTCAGGCCAAAAGTACCAACAGTACACTTGCTTTCAAAGATCCTTTTTTTGTGTCCCCCCCCCGTGACTGTGCAATAGGCCTTCATTCTGACTTGCAGCCTATTCCCTATAGCCCTATTTAATAGGGATAGGCACAACTGACATACTCTGTTTCCCAGGTGAGGAGAGAAGAACATTTATGCAATATATTTCCCACAGGTACTGTCACTTTTTTAATTGCATGCAAAGTCTCTTTTTAAGATGGGATTGAATCGAGCAGCTGTAAGGCTAATTTAGAACAGAAGGAGTACTAGTGTGCTAATTTATTTCTGGTGCCTAATCTTATGAGAGCTGTATTTTAAACTGTACATAATGAGGGGAAGGAAGTCTACTTGTTGGAATATATTTCTGCACAAACTACTGCTTTAAATTCAGTGAGCATCTTCCATGTATTTCTCCTCCCTCCATTTTCACTATCAGAGAGAAGTTCAACATTTGCTTCTGGATGAACAATTTAATCTCTCTTTAATTTGAGACTAGATAGACTTGTACCTGATAGGGAACTGCTGAGTTTTAAAAACTGTCTAAATGCTTTGCAAATGTATAGGATTAAAAGCAGCATGTTAAAGCGTGGTTGTTCTCTGAAAGTGGCATCATGGGTTCAACAGGTAGCTTCCTTTGTGACACCACCTCACCTTTGCTTGGGTTGCACACAGAAAGATGCTGCAGTCTGAAGTCCCAACTGCATTTGTTGTGGCTCACTTAACAGCATTAAACTCTACAAAGCTGAATTTTGCTCACCATTACATTTTGTCTGGATTGAGGTGGCACAGCTCTAAATATGTGCTGCTTGACAGTTTACACTTCTTCAGGTGCAGGAGTTGAAATAGAATCCAGCCTTTCAAATATAACAAGTAAAAAGCAGATACTTTATTTTTATCTCCAAAGTAAACAGACATGAGATGGAATACTCAGTGAGCAGTTCTCAACCGGAAGTTGCCAAACGAAATCACTTCTTGAGCAACAACCAGACTTTAAAGGCGCATTGTGCCACTTAATAAGATTGAACTTTTTTGTTATGCAAGATGCATGCAAAAGCTGCATGAAATCTAGATCAGCACAATTATCATTTGAAGATTAAAAGAACTCACAACAATAACAGCACATTCTTTGTCCTAATCTATTGTTTACATTGTGTTGAATTTTATCCACAAAAGACTTACATCTTCAGAACAAATAATGGAAATTCATTACATGCAGTCTGTAATACAGCCACTAAAAAAAGTTCCTATACAGAGTGCTGATTCAAAACAGTCTTAACAAAAATTCCCAAGGAAAACACATGGTTTTGCTGAAGTGTGATTCAGTGATTTCTGGACAGACAGCATCAGATGCCTTTTCTTTGCAGAATGGGAAAAAAATGAATCTTTCTATTTAGGAGGTATTAGCAACTGGATTGTAGATACACCACCATTCAAACAGTGATTTGTATATCATTTATACATACCGGAACTAGCAATACTCTGTTCAATGTTACACCTCCTACCTTATGAAGTATCTGGAAAAAAGCCAACCTGGCTCATGCAGTTCTCCCTCAGTAGGCTCTACTCCAGTTATAGGATTACTACAGGGCATCATCTCCCATAGGTTTGTATTATGATTTAAGAAACTCATGCTCTTCTTTGGATTTTCCTTTGATAAGGATGTAGACTGTAATCAATGAAAAATATTAACTACATTCTGTAGCCCAGTGATATTCTGACTGTAGGAAGTGAAAGGCCAAACAAAATTAACATCAAAGATGATTTGCAAGCATCCTCATCTGTAGAGCAATTCTGGCCATCTCCACTCCATATGTATCCAGGTTACTGCTTGGCTCAAGCTGAAGCATGGCAGACTACGATCAATAGTCTGACCAGGTAGCACCTCTTTAAAAATCAAGGACTACTGTGAATTGTATTGTAAAACAGGCTTGAATTTAGGTCACCTGCTATTCACTGATACTAATAAGCACCAATGCAATAATCCTTGCTCTATACACGCTTGTTAAACCTGTAAAATAAGTCTTGCAAGAATGAACAGAACTCAGTATTTTATATTGTCTTCTGTAATGTTCTCTCTCTCCCACCCCAGTAAAATATAAATACAAAATGTTCACAAATATTTCAACAGCACATTTTTTCTTTAGGGTGTATAAGGTGGTGGCTTTTCAAAAGGAGGAAAATATGGTGGGGAATAACGAGGAGGAGCATTGGAGGACCACATGTAGCTTGGAGATGGTGACATTGACTGGGGATCATCTGAAAGTCCAGAAGGAGTGGAAGCTGGAAACACACTGGAATGCTGCAAAAAAGAGAGACAAATACTTTTGTCAATATCAAACTTGAAAAGAATACAAGGTAAATAAGCATTTCTTAATTTCATACACTGAAAGGCACAGTGATCAGTTAAAAAAAAAGTTTTTACCAAACAGTATGATGTTGCTAATATTTTACACCTTGATCCTACAACCACTTATTACACGTTTAACTTTATTCAAATGAAAAGCTCCACTGAAATCAAGTTAAGCAACTGAGTAACTATTTGCAAGATAAGAGCTTAAGGTTGTTTAAACTTAAGAGTTAAATCTGATTTCCCATTCATCATTTCTGCTGCTTACTTAACACAGTTGTCTCCAACCTTTTTACGCCCAAGATGACTTTTTAAATGTCAGGGCAAGCCAAGATCTTCCCCAAACCCCACCTCTTCCTTGAGGCCCTGCCCTCTCTGTTCCCCTCATCTCCATCACTTGCTATCTCCAGCCCTTACTCACTCTCACTAGGCTGAGAAAGAAGGTGTGGACTCTGGGGTGGGAATGAGAGAAGGGGTGAAAGTGCAAGCTCTAAGAGGGAATTTGGGTGCAGGAGGAGGTAGAGAGGAGGATGCTGGCTCAGGGAGGGGGCTCCAGGCTGGAAAGTTTTGGAGTCAGGTGGACGGTTGGGATGCTGAACAAGCCGCAGGTTGTGGATGTGGGGGTGCAGGAGTTTGGGTTATGGTACATAAGGGGCTCAGGGCAGGGGGAGTTGGGAGTATGAAGGGCTCAGAGCACAGGTTTGCGGTGTGTGGGTGGTGCAGGTGTGTTGTGGACCAAGATTGAGGATGTATTGGGTGCAGGAGTTTGGGGATGTGAGGGGATCAGGACAGGGGGTTCCGGTGTATGATAGGCTTAAGGTTGGGGTTTGTAGGGGGTGCAGGAATGTTATGATGCTGCGGCCAATTGGGGGCTTGTTGGCCAGGTTTCATTTTTAAATAAAATATTATGTCCAACACAAAAGGTTTCACCATTGTCTTTATTTATGGGAGAGTCGGGGAATCTATTTTGGGTCAGGGACCACTGATCCACAGAAAAGTCAGTCAGGGACCACACAAAGGAGATGCAAAAAAAACAACCCCTCCAACCCCATGTGGCCCCAGCTGAGACACCTCACTCCCCTGTCACTTCTGCCCCATGGTGAGAGAGGGTAGGTCGGACTGAGGTTCAAGGCCTCAGGCCAGATTAACCCTTCTGAGGTTCCAGGGTTAGTGGATTTTATGGGCCCCTCTACACTCTGAGGTGGGGCCAAAAATGAGGGATCCCGTGTGCAGGAAAGGGCTGCCAATGAGTGGGACAGGGTTGCAGAATCTGCATGGAAAGTAGGGTACAGGAGCAAGCTGGGGATAGGTGTCTGGCCAGGAGGGAGGGGGCAGGAGCAGGGTGCTGGTGGGTGTCTGGCCAGAAGGCAGGAGCAAGGTGCTGGTGAGGGTCTGGGTAGGAGCAGAGTGCTGGTGGAGGTTTGGCCAGGGGAGAGGCGGCAGGGACAGCTTGGCTGGTACCTGGGGGTCTCCAGGGACAAGGATCTCTGGGGCAGGATCTGTGGGGTAGCGCTGGAAGAAGTGCATGTGTGGCTCCTTAAAAAAATCCAGCTGCTCCAGATCCTGCATTGCCATCTTAAACTGCCCCCCATCTCCCTAGAGCACAGGGAAGGAAGGGAAGACAAGAAAGCGCGTGCACTGTTGTGGGCAAGGAAGGAGTGTGTACTTTCTTGTCTTCCCTTCCTTTCCCTTGCTGTCTTCCTTCTTTCCTGCAGCATGGGGTGGGGGTGGGGGTGGAGGAAAGTCCTGTGGCTGTGCGCTAGATCCAGCTTATCAGGAAGCATGCCCGCTGTTGTAGGGAGGGGAAGAGCAGCGCACATACTTCCTGAGGAGCTGGATCTGGCACGCAGCCATGGGACTTCGCTGTATGCTGCAGGAAGCCAGAGCTAGCTCCATTTTTGCAGGAGGAGAGTGCCGGTGTGGGCTCCTCGTTAGGGGTGGGAGGAGCAAGGGGAAGGGATGGGAACACCTTGAGATCGACTGGATGTGCCCCCACAATCGACATGGTTGGTGACCATGGACTTAACCCATTTCACTGAACTTGTACACTTAATGCAGACTAATCAGTTTCATCCTTTGTTTTTCATACATTAGACCACTTCTGTAAAATTTAGATTGCAGCCACTGCCTGAGAATCAAATCTTTCTGTATGTTTGTTTGGCTTTTACATTAATGAAAGGGGGGGCACTTCAATTTTGTAAAATCAGATTTGTTACACAAAATTTGCATACTTCCAGGCTATTCAATAGAATCCCTTTTGATACTGGTTGTGAAGAATTGTGAGGCTGTGAAGGATTAGGGATAAATTACACATTAACAAAGTATCATACAATTATATTACATGCAAAGATATTACAAATTACCACTTGGACACTTTTGTTTGTTTTTTATACCACAAATATAGCCTGGAAAGCACCTAATATACTGGTGAGGTTAGTTGATACCTTGCCTGAGAGCATAGGGCGATTTACGGTGAGGATAAAATCTTTGCATTGTGCTGAAAAGGTAAATACAATGAGAGCAAGTGTTCTGATTGTGTGTCAGAAAAGAGCGTTTATAGCTCTGGAGGATTAAGGTGTAAGCAGAAATAGGCTATGAAGTTGGGATATAACCTGAGAAGACTGTGAAAATTGCTTTAAGTTTCTTAAAATTATATTCTGGAGGTCATATATACACATGATTTTCCCCATCACAGATCTATTACAGCTTACTGAGCAAATATTGTGCCACCAGGTAAAAGCAGGCTTGGATACCTGTGGAGCAGATTGTGGCATCCATAAAAAAGTCTTAGAAACCAACGACTTTGGTTTTTTATTTGCTTTTAAAATGCAAAACAGCTTTTCCTCACCTCCCAATTAGGGCTAAGCCTCTGCTCCCTGCCAGGTTTCAGCCATCTGAACCCCTCAAAATGCTAAGGTTTGAAACATAGGGGGGCTTTGCTGTGGCAGGTGTTGCGGTTGTACTTTCTAGAGAACACAACCTTGGGTTTCAAACATTACGGAGCACCCGTGTATTGCTGCCTAGCAACAGCCATGAGCTTTTGAGGAGAGCCGGCTTTGTTGCAGCTGTAGAGTGGGCCTGGCTTATTTTGGTTCCTGCCAGCAGTCAGATTTTATTAATGAAACAGGCCATTGAAAGGGCTGCACTTGAAACCTCCCTTTCTAAAAGGAACAAAAAGTGGAACGAGCCACTACTGGGATGAAACAACCTACTCATTTGCATTTGCTTCTCAGCACCGCACTTGGCCTGCTACCTACAGAAGTCAAAACACAGCAGGGATGAGACTTTCCCAGCTGATCGTTCCCTGCTCCCCGCTTTCTAATACACAACATGAATGACTAGCACAGAGTGAGGAGTACTATTTTTATGCAGAGGCTGATATAGAGGGTTGCCAGATTGTCCCCCAAAAAATACCAGACACGTGGTATTTTGGTCAAAAAAAAAAAAAAAAAAACAACCACCCCAATGCGGGCTAACGTCCCAGCCACTTCCCCCGCTCCCGCCAGGCTTCGCACAATCACAGGCTCCTAGCACTGATCATGGCCCCCCCCCCCCAGCCGCTCCCCCCCGCCCACGCCAGGCTTCCGTCTGGTGCACAGCCGGAAAAATCAGAGAATAGCGGCCATTGCACATGTCCTGTATTCTCTGATTTTTTTTACCGTACAAAGAGCGCAAATACCGGACTGTCTGGTAGAATACCGGACACCTGGCAACCCTACGATATCTGGCAAGCGGGAAACTGTTAAAACGGGATGAGAGAAGTAAGGGTCTGCTGCCACTGTCATTGGAGATGCCTCTGTTCAAGTGGTTGGAATGTCATGGACAACAGGAAGCTGGTCTAGGCTCACACCTGGCCTGAAACAATCTCAGCCCAACCTGTGCGCCTAAAAACGAACAAAGACTCCGTCACTCTGATAACACATGCACAAAGCTGGAGAGAGTTTGTCAGAGGATAGGGAAGGAGACAAAGTCAGGAGATCTGGGCTCTATTCCAGGTGCTTCTGTGTCCTCTTATCAAAGTAATAGAGTGACTCCACAGAAGAAAACAACAAATGGTCGAGTAGCACTTTATAGACTAACAAAACATGTAGATAGTCTGAGGGAACTATTTTCAAGGCCCTTAGGGGTTTAGGAGCTCAAGTCTTGGTGTCTACTTCTGAAGATGGGACTCCAGTGTTTTTGAAAATGCTACCTTTGGTCCAAACACAGGTTGTGTGACCATTTAACTGTACCAGTTTAGAAATAAGAGCGTGCATAAGTACAGCACCTTAGAAAGGTGCTTGTCAGTATGATTCAGTTTGGTAAATGCATAGGAATAAGCTATGCTGAAGTAGTCCTTTCACAGCAGTGTAAGTCCACAATCTGGGGGGTTGCACGGATCTAATGAAATTGGTACAGAAACAGTGTGTAGGACAAGTCCTAAAAATCCCGAGCCTAAGAATGCTCCCTGCTTTAGAACCTTCCTGACGTCAGCGTTACCAGGACAGAGAAGACTGAGGACAAGGGAAGGTGTGAAATGTACATTGACTCCTCCTTTCTTAAATTACCCCAAAAAGCCACCAAAATGCTAATAATAAAAAAGGATACTTGTTAAACCATCTCCAAGAGGATACTCCGGTCATGGGGAAGGGAAGGAGAGGACCATTTTCCTGCTCATCAGTGTGTATAAGAAAAGGGGAAGTAGGACTGTGTTATGAAGATCTAAAACAACCCATTATGAGGGACGTGTGCCCCTTCCCCAAGGAATCCAGGGTTGGGAGGCTCCTCACCACCACCTGCCCCTTAGCATGAGGAAGTCTTGTCTGTGTCAGCAGATCAGCTCTCTGATACCACCAGCCTCAGGCAGCAATAACATAGCCTTCCAGGTCCCCACAGGCCTCGTGCTCTCTGCACAGGTTAGCAATAGGCACACATGAACCCCCAAATCTTCCGAGCATCCCTCTGGCACGTCTAATCCCTGTTCCACGCGCAGAACAATCAAGTTCGCTACTCCCAAAAGACCAGTGTGTACCATGTCACAACAGCTGATTTAGGAAGCACACCTCTTAACACATAGCACAGAGATACATAGTGAAAACAGGAATACGTTTATCATTAATAGACATTCAAGTGATGGCAAATAAGAATATTAGAAACAAATGGTTTCATAAAAAAACCAGACTCAGAGGCTAGATCGGGGTGGGCAATAATTTTTAAAAGGGAGCCTTGGGTGGAAGGGGTGGGGCCAGGAGATTGGCTTGGGATGGGGGAGCGTGAGAAGTCTTCTCCCTCCCTCCCCCACTCTCTAGAGAAACCCAGCTGTTTTAAAACTCATGCACGCTTCCTGCCCCCAGGCTAATCAGGACCTGGGGGCAAGGAAGCATGCGGCAGCTAGAGCCACACGCGGGCAGTTTTAAAACAGCTGGCATGTCTCTCTAGCCGCTGCACGCCCCTGGCAGGGTGGGGACAAGATGCGAGAAACTTCATGCACTCCCCGGCCCCAGTTTTAAAACAGCTGGCATGTCTCTCTTGCCGCCGTGTGCTCTTGTGGAGGCAAGAAGACTTCATGTGCTCCCCTGCCCCCAGATCTCCTGCCCTCACAAACCGATGCTTAGCATGTTGTTCAGATGTGAAGGGTGCTATTCTCAATGTAAACATGACCACAGCCTGAGATAAGTGTCTGTTCCTCTCTGCCTGACAGGCAGACTGGGACCACTTCTGGTGACCTGCCTTAACACACCAACCCAACTAACATAATTTTAAGTATATTTTTAAAAGTCTTTACATCTTTTCTGTGCCTGCATCTTGCAATGATTATGATGATTTGCATGGCAGACTTTCACTAGAGACCTTCTGTGGTATTCACTGACAGACTAGAACAGTGGTTCCCAAACTTTTCAACATCACACCCCCTTTTTGAAAAACTCTCACTCCCCCCCCCCTCCCCAAATAGCAGCAAAACTTGTTGAGGAAAAAAAAAGGAACTGACCGGGGCAGCAAAACTTGATTGGGGGGGGGAGGAATGAGGGTTTTTCAAAAAGGGGGCGTGGCGTGATGTCGAAAAGTTTGGGAACCACTGTTCTAGTCTGTCTCATGCCCCCCTGGAATTTCTTCACGCCCCCTCCAGTTTGGGAACCTATGGACTAGAGGATCTCAGGGAATCCCTGTACCTCTGGATGCACCTGTGCCCTCTGGCATCAAGTGGTCCATGGGTCACAGCAGGGTTGAAGTAGGCACAATTTGTTCCATTGCCCTGAAGGTGGAGGCTTGGTATGTCTACACTGTAATCACTGAGGATGGCTGCAGCTCACACAGACACATCAGAGATAACTCGGGTGCAAGTTGCAGTAGTGAGTGAGGGGCAGCCTGGAACCTGGAGTAATGACTCGGGCCAGATGATAGCTAGTGCGGGGATGGCTACGCAAGTGGCAGTCACACCCTATGACTCCAGTCTGGACATGCTCCTAGTGTAACTTCAATACAGAGCCTAAGGACAAGCTGTGGGCTTGCAGAGGAGGTCTAGTGCCCTCTGTAAGGAGGCGGGATCGCCGTAGGTAGATCTCTGGGGAAGGCACACCTTCATGGTCCCCAGGCTAAGGTATTCTTATCTATTTAATGCCACTGTCTGTTGTGCCATACCTGGAAGTCATACGCTGAGTATGGCGGCAGATGAGGTGTGCTGTGGTAATAAGTGTTGTAAGAAGTCACCTGTGGCCTCGAGTAATAGGATACTGAGGGATGCGCATTTTCAACTGTACAGTTCAGTGTAGGAAGGGAGGGAGTCTGTGGAGACAAAAACACACACGGGGTGACACAAAGGTTAACTTGCACCTGCCCCACACTCAGGGCCGTCCTTAGGCATACGCGGAGTACGCAGTTGCGTAGGGCACCACACTTTCTGGGGCACCACTCTGCCAGCCTGGGGAAGCATACGCGTGCGCTCTGCACCGGAGCCAGTGCCCCCGCCAGAAGCCCCCACCGGGCCGAGGGACTCCGGCGAGGAGGCCAGCAAGCTGATCCCGGCTGGGGAAGGGAAGCTGTCAGCCTGGGCAGCAGCGTTGGGAGGAGCCGGGGCTGCACCAGGGGCAGGGTCACGCGCAGCTTAGCATTGCGGCGCCATTTTTAAAAACAGCCAGGTCGCGCCACGGCAGGCAAGCGGGGTGCAGGGGGGCAGAGCCTTGCTAGGGCAGGACCTGCCATGTTGTGATGGGCCGGGGCTGCGAGCGCCAAGCGGCCCCG